GGTTGCTTACCACTTTGTCAAAATTAAAAATAAATTCAAGTTAATAAACAATTATGCAATTAATAAGAGAAGATTAACAAGAAGAAATATTTAACAAAATATTTAAGTAAACCTATATGCAATTTTAGTAAAGTTCAAAGTATATAAATACTGAATTTAAAAGAGAGAAGAGAAGAGAGTGGTGACACTGAAAATTTTTATAGTGGTTCGAAAATTCCTACTCCACTCTCCAAGATTCCTTCTTGGTTATTTTATTGCAGTGACCCTCTTATGGGTGAGAACCAAACCGATCGACCATCATTTTGTCCTAGGCTAAAGAGAAACCCAATATCATTTTTACTGGTTGAAGATCCAACCAATTTACTTTTCTCACAATCCAAGTTGTASCCACACCTTAATACAAAACCCAATTTGAAAATAAAAAATTCAAAAATACAAGTGGATTACACAAATTTTGCACCAAAATAATGATTAAAAAGTCACACTCTAATAAATCTCTCACAATAAAAAAGAGCAAGTTATGTGTATGAGAGAATGAAGATTTTGCAAAAGTTGAGAGGAGAATTTGAAAACAAAAGATTTTGCTTTGATAGTTGGTGTGCAAAATGGTGGAATTTGGTGGCTTTAAATAGAAATTCGATGATGAATTTTGGCCATTGGATATAGGGCAACAAACGATGAATGGTGTAAAGAGGTGATCTAAGGGAATGAAATAAAAACATAATTATGGTGATTAAAAGAAATTAGTGGAGATTAAGAAATTATTGAGATTGTGAGTGACTGAGGAGATTGAGAGTGATTTAGGAGAGATTGAGGAGATTGGAAATTAATTTGTAGAGATTGAAAGCGCCACATGTCATCTTCTCATTTGTTTGATTGTTGGGTGTCACGTCATTATAAATATGTCCTCTTGATGCCACATGCAAACTTCTGAGTGGTCCATTTATCCATGTCACCCACCATGTAGGATTGGTCTGCTTGTCCATGTTACCTACCACGTATGATTTTTCTCCTAACTTGTTTTGACTATAACTTCTTCGTTTAAACTCCGATTTGAGTGATTAGACAAGCATTGGTTTTGTCTTTTCGAGCTCTATGCTATGGAAACTTTGAAATACTCAAATTATTAGCTTATACTTGGTTTGTGATCATCAAAATATTTGGTTTGATTGAAGCCATAAAGCTAACATCACATGTATGAAATGTGTTACAAAATAGTGTTTATAAAAATGAAAAAAAAAGTGTACTATATATATATATGTATAACATTCCACTATGCCTTCAAAAATTTTGCATGATATTACATTAATAATAATTTAATATTTTAATATGAAATAGTATCGTCAACTGCACATATAAATGATTCGTTTAGTCAAATCAATTTAATAAATTAAAACTTGTAAATGAAATTAAAGAAAAAAACTTGTAAATGTTCCCTTCAAATATTTTTTAATAAAAAAACTTTAGAGTCAAATTATATTAAATCTAAATGATCAAAATAATCAATATGTTTATTATAACGGAAAAAACTTAAATCCTAAACTAAAATTTCGTCATCTTTTTCCAATTATTTTATTTCTTATTTTCGTGCAGCCCCTACCTTCTTAATTTTTTCAAAAAAAAAAAAAAAAATCTCCATTAAAAAGAATGAGCATAAATAAATGTCATTCTAAAACACAATAATTAAAGGGAGCATGCAAAAATAATTACAAAACAACACTTATTTATTGAATATATTATTAATTGTATTATCATTTGTATTTTAGTTATATATTTGTGGGATCAGTTGTATATTTTAGTTACATCCAAGATACGTATCCCAATCGTATCCCAATTACGTATCTTACTTGATTTCTTGAGTTATTATATATACTTTTACTTACATCACATAATATATGAAAATGAGATAAAATCTTAGCTTTTCTCTCTTTGTCGTGGCTTATTATAGTATCAGAGCATAAATAATTTCACTTCTGTTGGTTACATCAAATTTTATTCTTTCTTACTTCGCTGAGGTCTCTACAATTTTTTTTTTTTTTTTTTAATTTCACCATACCAGAGAAGACCATTGTTCAAACTACTTCCTCCAAGGATTAGTCCACCGTTGATAACTCATCTAGTCCCTATTATATGCATCACTCTAATAATACTGGGCTAGTTTTGGTTTCGCATTTACTCACCGGTGATAATTACACGTCTTGGAGCCGTGCCATGAAGATTGCTCTCATTGTTAAGAACAAATTGGGTTTCATTGATGGGAAACTCGACAAACCCATTAATGACTTGATACCCTTTTGGGTATGTTGCAATAATGTCGTTATCTCCTGGATTCTCAACGTTGTTTTTAAGGAGATTTCTGCTAGCATAATATCTTCTGAGTATGCCAAGGATATTTGGGTTGACCTTCAAGAACATTTCAACTTTCAAATCGACCCAAAGTTTTTCAACTTCTTCGTACCCTCGCCAATTTGGCACAAGATCAACAAACTATAGGGGCCTACTTCACAAAGCTAAAAACGATATGGGAGGAGTTGTCCTCATTTCATCCCTCATGTACTTGTGGTAATTTCACGTGTGGCGACGTAAAAAACCTCCTTGCCAATTACCAATCTGAGTATGTTATGTTGTTTCTAATGGGTCTTAATGAATCTTTTTATCAGATTCTAGCAGAAATTCTATTAATGGAGCTGGAACCACATATCAACAAAGCATTTTCTTTCATCATCCCAAGAGGAACAACAGCGTGTCATCGGCTCCTCTACAATAGATACATCTGCCTTTTCTGTTTCACATTCTCGATTTGTCTTAACGCCTGCTGTCAAGTCTCAGCGCAAGGATCGAACTATCTGCATTCACTATGGTCTTCTCGGTCATACTATTGACCAATGTTACAAACTGCATGGTTACCCACCTGGGTATAGATCACGTTCGAAGAACAATTCGGTTACCAAACCTGTGGATGCTGCTATGGTTCAGACTGGGACCAACTCTAATGATTCTCTACAAGAGTTAACTTTGGCCCAATGCCAGCAAGTTATGCATATGCTCCAAGCACACCTTGTTCAAGCTAAGTTGAGGCAGCTCATCCTCCCACATCGGAAGTATTTGCTCGTCGGTTCATCTTACGACCATTAGATTGTTGACTCTGGAGCATCTTCACATATATGCCCTTTTTGAACTCTTTTTTCTTCTTTGACACCGATTTTGAATGGCTCTGTCACCATCCCAAATGGCTCAAAGATTATGGTGGAATGCATTGGCAGTGTGTAGTTGAATGACCACATCCTCCTTCATAGAGTGTTATTTATTCCAACCTTCCATTATAATTTAATATCTGTCAGCACTTTACTTTGAGATTCACCAGTTAACATCACTTTAATTGTTGATACATGTATCATTAAAGGCAAGTGAAATTCGAAGAGGATTGACAAGGGTGATCTAATTCATGGTCTTTACATACTTCGTTCTCCCTCCCGTTGTGATGTTCCTGTTTTTGGCTCTCCATCTGTCATTTGTAGCGTGTCGTCCATGGAGTTATGGCATGACCGCTTGGGCCGTCCATCTGTCAAGTGTTTGCGCATGTTTCATAATATTTTGAAATTTTCATTCTTTACAAATTAGAATCTCGTTAAGGATCGATGCCTTGTATGTCTGTTGGCTAAACGAAAGCGACTTTCGTTTTCTTCTAATAATAATTTTGCAGCCAATTTATTTGACCTCATCCACTGTGATATTTGGGAACCTTGTCAAATTCCGACACATGCTTGATATCGGTACTTCTTAACGTTTGTAAATGACTGCACCCGTTATACATGGATATTTCTTCTCAAACACAAGTCTGATGCTACTCGTATTATTCCACAATTTTTTACCTTTGTGCAGACTTAATTCAACAAACGTATAAAAAAGTTTTGGTCTGACAATGCTCTTGAACTCGCCTTTATTAGTTTTTTTAGTTCCCAAGGGGTTGTCCATAAGTTCTTTTGTATCGACCGCCCTGAACAAAATTCTGTCTTTGAATAGAAACACCAACATCTACTCAATATTGCTCCAACGTTATTTTTTCAATCACGAGTTACCATTCAATTTTGGGGTGAATGTACTCTTTCTGCCATGTTTTTGGCCATTTGTGCTCCTTCGTACATTCTGAAATGGAAGACACCCTATGAGCTTCTCCATAGTTGTCTCCCAAATTACAGCACCTTTAGGATCTTTGGTTGCTTATGTTTGCCTCTACTTTGCCAGGTCAATGATCCAAATTTCACCCACGGGCCACTCCTGTTGTTTTATTGGGTTATCCACCTGGCATGAAAGGATATAAGGTGTACGATATTGCCAATCAGCATATATTCGTCTCTCGTGATGTCGTTTTTTTATGAAAGCTCTTTTCCGTTCCATTTTGTCCATGTCGGTTTTACGGTTCTTGACCAATTCCAGACTTGGTCTTACCGTGATCTTTTGATCTTCCAGTTGGTGTTGATTACCCCTTTGCTTTTGATCCTGCTTTTCCGTCTGAGGCTGTGAGGTCTTCGAATTAGTTGGTTCTGTCGCCTCCAGCTCCACTTGATGGGCACCAGCCAATCCCTTCTAACGTTATTGGGCCTTCCCCTGGTTACTTCCATGCAGCTACCCAACATTTCCATCACCCTAGCTGCTACCTGCCATTCACTGATTGCACCACACTCTACTACATCTTCACCAGCTTCCCACGATACTCCATCAGATTCCTCTGTTCTCACCCCTGCTCCTGATGCGATGGGTGTTTTTGCTACTCGTTGGACAACTCGACCATATCGCCCACCGTTATACCTACGATATTATCACTGCAATTGATTGCTCAACATCTCTCCGTCAAGTTTATCTTCTCGGTAGCCTTTGTGGGATTACTTAGCCTATTTCAAGCTTTCTCCTACTTTTCAGGCTTTTTCATTGAATGTTTCTGTCCATTACAACCTCAGTTCTATCATTAGGCTATTCGTTATGCTCACTTGCATGTTGCTATGACTGCTGAACTTAAGGCTATGGAAATTAACAAAACTTGGTCCGTTGTTCCTCTTTCTCCTAGACAACATTCGATTGAGTGTAAGTGGGTCTATAAGATGAAGCACAATTTCGATGGTTCAATAGAGCACTACAAGGCTCCATTGGTTGCCAAGGGATATACACAACAAGAAGGTATTGATTTTATTGAAACCTTCTCTCTCGTTGCTAAATTGGTTACTGTCAAGATCTTTCTCACTATTGCTGCTTCTTATAATTGGCCATTGATCCAACTAGATGTTAATAATGCTTTCCTCCATGGCGATTTGTTTGAAGAGTTCTATATGGATATGTCGTTGTACATCTGGTCCTCAAGGGGAGCACATGGTTTGTCGCCTTCATAAATTCATTTATGGTTTAAAGCAGGCATCCAGGCAAGGTTCGCAAAATTTTCCAGTGCACTTTTATCCATTGGCTTTTGACAGTCTAAATCTAATTATGAATGGATCAAATCCCGTAGCGGAAGCGCGTGTGCTTCAATCTTGTTTTAGAATTACAACGAAGAAAAGACATAAGCATGAATAAAAGGAAGTTAGTGAAACATACCTTTGAAGACACCTCTTCAAATTAGGCATCAAAGCCACCAAAAAGCTTTCCTTACTATCCTCTGGATGTTAAGAACTCGGTTTGTGGAAACCGTCCTATAATTGAGAGGGAAATCGAGAGATCGAGAGAGAGATTTTCATGTTGGAGTTACGGAAACTCAATCAACCGAGGACCGGGGACCAAAAGGAAGGGGAGAACCTACCTTTTTATAAGAGAGGAAGAGTGGTGGGAAAGTCACGACTTACCCACTCACCACGTCCCCATTTCCCACCATTAATGGGATATATTAATTTGGTTAAATTAATTTAGATTTAGTTTAATTAAATTAATAATTTTTTAGATTTAATTAATTATAAATTTAATTAAAATTATTTTAATTAAATTAAAATAAAACAAAAAAAAAAGAAAAAGAAAATGGGAGGAAAAACCTCCCACTCCCCACCATTAATGGCGGGGAGTGGGGAAGTGAATAACTTCCCCCCCACTCCTCCTTCCCTATAAAAGGGAGGTTCTCCCAATTTCTTTTCCGTCGTCTGAATGTTGGTTGATTGAGTTTCCGAAACTCTAACAAGAAAAGCTCTCTCTCAATTTCTCAATTTCCCTTTCAATTATAAGACGGTTCCCACAAACTGAGTTCTTAACATCCAGAGGATAGCGAGGAAGACTTTTGGGTGGCGTTGGCATCTACATTAAAGAGGTGTCTTCAAAGGTATGTATCACTGACTTTCGTTTAATCATGCTTATGTCTTTTCTTCGTTGTAATTCTAAAACAAGATCGAACCACACACGTTCGCACGCTTCCGCTGCGGGATTCGATCCCTTCAATATTTTTATCTCAATGTCACTATACTCTTCAAGTTTTGGAGGATGATGACCTTCTTGGTTGTAAGCCTACGACCTTGCCCATGGACCCTAAACTTAAGTTTCATGCCTCTACTGGACCATCTCTACCAGACCCCCCCGTTTATCGACGCCTCATTGGTCGTCTTTTATATCTTATTATTTCACACCCATTACATCACATTTACTAGTCATAAGTTAAGCTAATATTTCTTTGCCCCATGCCAACCCCAATTTGTCGGCAACTTATAA